CTACCCTCCATGTGCTAGTTTTAGGGTGCCTAATACTCTTAGGCCCCATTTCAATCTCATTGTATGTATTTATTAGTTAGGCCTGCGTTTCTCCAGCTGCAGAAAGGGAGTTAGTGTACTTCCTTTTGCATTTGTCACACTGCACATACATGCTGCCACTGAATATGGCCAGAGCATGGGCCCCACCCAGGAGCATTGTCCATGCAGGCAGATCCAGGAAAGAGGTTGGCTCCAGCACCACTCATCAGTGCAACATGTCAGCTGTAACCATTGGTTTCTACTTAAATGGAAATACTGAAACAACAAGGTCAGCTGTTGAACCAGCAATGGCTGGAATTCTTACAAAGTTTAGAACTGTTTAAATTAAAAGCTGCTTTTGCTATAGGTTTCATACAAAGTGCATCACCCGTATATCAAAGACTGCTGTTGAAAAGCTAGGTTGCAGGTAATTGGTGTTTGCAACTGCTGTGTAAGATGATTCCTGTGATTATATCGTAGGTAATAACTATACTTGCTGTTAGTTGGACTTTGTGAAATGAAGTGGAGGGTGTTAATTCTGTTCTAGCAACAGAATCTGATTTATGAATGACTGCACATCCATAACTCCCACTTGAAGTCAGAGCTGTGTGTGCTCAACACATCTGAAATACAGGTGCTCGACATGTAAGCAGGTGTCTTAATTGATACTTCGTAGTTCACACTCAGCAATCACTCTTTAGAGACAGGAGACCCAGAGCGATAGACAGATCAATTATGGTTCCTTGGTGAAAAAGGTTGGGTGTTTTTTTTGCTTGTTCATGTTGCGGTGTTACTTCCCAGTTTAAAACAGGATGCTTGCCCTCTCTCACAGAGCTTGCCTTTGGTTGTTCTGACAGCAGGGAAGATAAAGAAATGCAGTTAGACTGAACATTCAACAAGGTGGATAACAAACATGTGCCAACAGTAACCACAGGGTACGTTCATGCTGTTGACAGTGCTCACGCTCTGACAGCGGATGTCAGCGTGGCCCAGACCGCTTCGGCTGCTGAGCTCTTCCTGGCTGATGGGGTTGTACTGACTGGCACAGCCACTGGACTGCCCACGGATCCCCAGGAGCTGAAAGGTGAGAGCTGTCAGACAAAGGTAAGACAATGGGCAGTAAATCTGGATTAATGTAGAAAGAAATCTATATGTCTGCTATTCCTTAAGGGAAAAAAAGAGAGGCAAGAAAAGAAACTCTCACTGTTGTGTTTGATTTGATACAGCAGAACTTATGTGACTGAAGTGCTTGTTCAGATTGGCTGTCATATGGTTCTAAACAACAATTTGGTGGGACAAAAATGAGAATTATTTCAAGCCTTTGTAACACTGAATGATGCCGACGCTTAAAAAAAATAATATTTAAAAATGTGTGTAAAATTGTGTAAAAACCCCCCACAACTTTTCATTCCTAACAAGTCTTCATACACGAAAAAGCTACTTTACAGCCCTATTAGAAAACTACCTAACTATAAATCTTCCCATTGAAGAGTAAAGCATTTTTATCTTTCACAGTGAAAATGCTAGTCCAGAAAGAAAAGGGGCATTTTGACAAGGCAACGTTCTGAACAGTAATACCAAGGAAAGTGCTGCTTGGGAGATTTCAGAAGGAGCACAGGTTCGCTGGTAGATACACAGATATTACATCAAAATATTTTTTAAATGGTGTGGACTTTTTATCAAGGGAGGTTCATTTGACCCAAGTTCTTACCCTTTTCAAAGTGTTACATTTTTCTTCCCATTTTTCTGTTGGCGTAAGTTTGAGCTGTTGTCATGAAATTGGATTGCTCCCATGCATGTCATGGTGGCATTTAATTTTCATTATTAACTTTAATTTAGGTTAATCTCTTGAATTTGAGGGTCTCACTATGTAAAATAGAATGTGTAGTATTTTTTTTTTTAGGGTTTACTTTTGCTGACATGCTTTAACTTGACACTTTTTGAAGTTCTAGTGCAGAGTGCGTTGTAGTCAACTTATGTTCACTGATCGGCATGAAAAACATACTTTACTTGCCATAGATATCTGGACCTCAAACATCTTTTGAAATAACATAAAATCATTCAGTGTTTTCAGGCTTTCGTCTATATCATATGTGCTTAACAGCATTTAAAATGAATGTTGAACTTGTCAAAATGGATTCTTATTTCATGTTATTTTTTTCCAGATAATGGGTTATAAATGGCTATGCTTCAGTCACCAATGTTAAAAAGAAAATGATGGGTTGGTGTGAACACTGAGCTCTTGAATTAGTTAGGTCTTTTGGTATAGTTAACTAGAAATGATACATGGAACAGGTCACCTTGAAAACTAGGCCTATTTTAGAGGCTGAAAAATTTCCTTAATCATAGAATCAACTAGGTTGGAAAAGACTGTGTTAAGATCAAGTCTAACCTTTACCCCAGGACTGCCAAGTCCACCACTAACCATGTCACCAAGGGCTTCATCTACTCAGCTAGAGTTCCATCCCTGTCTGCAATTAATGCTCCCATCACTCTCAATGCAGACTAAATAATTTTAAAAGAGGATTTTATAATTCTTAGGGTAAAATACTAGGTTAAATTCTGCTTTCACATATGCATGTGCAACCTTCATTCCTTTACTGCATCAAAGAGGAAAACCTGACCTCCAGGCACGAAGGTTTTTTACCACAGGATGCCAAACAAACAGCACCATGGCTTCTGCTTTTCTTCTGTGTGAATAAACATGTCAGTCTGTCCTGCTCTCTTTGTGGGTCCAAAGAACAAAATGAATCAGAGTTGGCAGTTGTAATGAAATACACACATTTATTTTTTTGTTTGGATTTGTGCTATGAAAACAAGAGTGTGCAGATCATGGGTTTGTTTTAACTTAGGTCACAGCACTCTGGATGTTAGCAGACCCTCTCATAAGAACGATGTTGGCTTAAAACAATTAAGAGAAGAACTTAAAAATCAATATTCCGGGGTATAAGGAAGTGACAAATAAGGCATAACTATGTCAGCAGATTCTTAAAAGGAATCAGATCTACTGTCTACAAAGCTGGTGTTGACGTGAGTGAAATTTTGCATTTCACGAATTTATGCAGCTCTGGAAGTGCTGTGTTACGATGATACACGCAATTGGGCACCTTTCATCACACTGCAAAGCATCTCTTGAAAGCAGAACCAAGAGACGGATGAGATTTTTGTCATGTCTTCTTTTCAGCTTTGTTGTGCGGTAATATATGAGTGGTTTTGCCTTTGTGTCTTTGTGTTGAATTGACTGATTTGTGATGGGGTGGGGGAAATGAGTGTTTCCCTGTCAAGCCAGTTCAGTGGGATTTTGTTTGTATCTTGTGTCACTGCCTCCTCATAGGCAACCATCAGCATTGCCCCTTGCAGAGGCTGGCAGGGCCCAGGGCATACCAGAGCACCAGTGGTTGATGTAGTACAAGGTCTAAAATTCAGACTTCAGGTTATTAAGGATCAGGAGTTATAGCTGAGCATTTTTAATTACAATTAGTAAACCATATTTTTATTCAAGAGATTATAGAAGTTTGTTCCAGTCTGCTACCTTCTGAAACATTCTTTGGTCGGAGTGTGGCAATCTATCAGGTTTTCTCTTTGGATCTAACTGCTGAAATACCTGCTTTGCATCTAGTCTGTATTTTAAGTGATTAAATCTTTGCATAGCGACTGCTTAGTTGTCTCTTTAAACAAAGCAAGTGGCCTCAACCGAGTAACCAGTGGCAAACAGGGTACAGCAAGAAACCCAACAACTGCCTGTGACTGTCGCCTCCTTGTTTATTGTTCATAAAAGGGTTATCAAGGCTGATTCTCCCTCTTGCCTTCTGATGATACATTTAGGTCAAAATAGAGGCTGCTGCCTTTGTGGTACTCTTGAGATAAACAGGAGATGTGAGTCTGACCAGTGCTTTTTGTAAGCCCGAGATTTAATAACAGTCATTTGAATTAAAAAAAATGTGTTACAGTGGAGCATTACCATAAACATAGTGTTGTGTACGGTACAGTGATTACTGCATATGAAAAAGCTGTTAAAAGAGGAGTAGTCGAGCAAGTTATTGGCACAGTGGTGCTTATTTTTACGCTGCTCTTCACCATTGTTTTCAAGCTAGGAGCATTTGGCCTTTATTTCATGTAACTTGTGCATACCATAGTTCAAATGCTTTCATTGTGCTTTGCAACCAAGCACTACTTCATTTGATTTTATTAAAGACATGTCTGCAGATGTACTAGTCACAAGAAAGAGCACAGTGCCCTCTAGTTACAGTTTACTGGAATAGAGAAATGCACAAGTTCTGTAAACTTTAGGATCTTGTAACCGTAACATCACAAAATCGTCTCCTTTTCTCTTTGTGTCAAAATATATACATACATATATATATATTCAGAAGAAGAAAGGCAGGAAAGCTGAAAGATTTAAAGGTCTGTGTTTAGAGACATCTTGACAGTGACTGAACACTGGCATACAAAAGCATTTCAAACTGCTGTTGCTTTATTTTCTTTTACAACTTAGAATTTGTATTAGCTCAGCCAATAGACGTATCACCTTCTACTAATCAACTTTAGGCCTTGATGTGCTTGGAAATGACTTAGAAGTAGCATCTGTAGCATACTTAATTAGGTACCCCAGTCTCATTGCAGATGGAGCGCTCCCATTGCCATTCCTCGCATCGTCATTCTGAATAAACCTCCAGCTCAGGAGGTGTGTGGACTCCATGTGTCATGTCTTGTGAAACCACAAAAAAACCAAAGCTTTCCAAAGGAGCAGGAGATGGATACCTTGCTCCTTTGGAAAGCTTTGGTTTTTTTGTGGTTTCACAAGAGTCTCAGGTTTCACTGGGTTTTCCTTTCTACTAGGGCTATGCTACTGCCTTACACCCAAGTGCTCATGCTCTGTTTAATTATTTGGCTTTTAATTTTTCCTGGCAATGTGAAATAATTATAGAACAATTCCTTGCTAATGTGCCTTATGCATTGCCCTAAAAACAAATATTGACTTGGAATGCAGTTCTCTGGGGAATACAGTATACAAGTAGGGTTGCACACATCTTTGGTCAGTTGTAGCACCTTAATTATGCATTGGCATCTGTGTAAAGCAGATGTGATACTTCTAAGAGCACATAGATACTATACAACTATTCTGATTTTTCTAGAACAGGATTTCAGTCATCATGCTGTAAATAACGAAAATTTAATTATTTTGTTCCTGTAAGCAGGATGACTGTAAGAATAAAAAATATGTGCAGAAATAACTAAAGTTGTAATTATATATGCATGATCCATCTGATTTATTTAAAATTGTCAATAAAGACTGCATAGAATGGTTTTATTTTTGTTTTGAAATGTTTATAAGAAGGAGTTATTGTTCCTACATGGAAAAATGGTAGGGCATGTGACCTAAAAAGAGATTCAAGAGCATTTTAATTGATCCCCTTTCTTCAGTTAAGTAGGAAGGTGATAAATAATTAGTCTTCCCTGAAGCATAATTAATAAGTAAGGCTGCTGATGAAACTTCATTTAAACAAAGTGTTTTGAAGCAGACTTATACGTTGCATATGTACTTTCTTCAGTTACCTCAAGCTCTGACCATCTTATATCAGTTTATTGCCCATTAAGGTGATTTATATGTTTTTAAAGGTCAGAAATAATGCCTCGCAACATTTCTGTAAGGGATGAAGCGTCCAGTCCTACCAGTGACTCTGAGGATGTTCAGTTTGAAATGAAAGGATGAAAAGGATGCTTAGTAATTTTTGGGCTGGGAATTTTTAAAAATTTTTATTTCTTTTTCCAGGGCTTGTACTGACCTAAGTTCTGCAGAAAAAACTTTTAATAACCTATTTATGGGGAACCTTTCCATGCTCGAAACAGCCATCCCCTTTTGGTCGTATTCTGAAAAATGGGAACTGTGGTAGCTGAGCCGTAGATCCATTTTCTCGCAGCCAGGTCTGCTGGAATGCATTCATTTCACAGTGAACCATGCACTGGAATCCACCCCATGTAGGAAGGATGAAGGGGATCTGTAATATTTCGAGCTCTGTTTGATATTTTGTTTATTTCTCCTTTTGGAGCCAGGTAAAGGGTCAGATGATTAAGTAACACATGTTGTATATAGAAAAAAACATAGGCTTTTTTTGTTGCATTGCCATTCCTAGAAAAGTACTCTCTATCAGTATTATCTTTTGCTTTCTGGAGCTTTCAGCATAGTCTATATGACTGCTGCTTGCTTTCCTACTTACGAGTCTCTGAAATTTTTCATGAAGTAGAGGACACATTCCTTTTCCCTGTGAAAAAGGCTGCTCTTGTTTCTTCACTGAAGATCTCCTACTAGTTGTCGATGTAGCATAAAGTCAGCAAGGAGACCTGGCAGAAATACACACCAGTCCAATTACCATTATTGTGATTTAAACTGATGACTGAAGAATTGTAATAAGCACAACTCTGCTGTATAGTTCTGCCACTGTAATGTTCTCACCAGACTTGCAAGAAAGAACCTGAGCTGATATGACAAATGAAAATAGGAATGGCATCTTATTCTTGTAGCTGTATTTTGATTACTTCATGGGAAGACTGGGGAGGCAGTGACATGTCTTAAGGTAAGGGAAGTCGAGAACAGTGTTAAGACTCCACATGGTGCATAGTAGTCCACACAGTCATTCCAGCACATCCTTTGTCAAGGCAATAGGTATGGTTTGCCTGGAATCTATACTGGGTGCTACTGCAACACGATAGTAAACAATAGCTCCTTTCCGTTTAGGTGTAGTACCTCAAGCACAATGGAGCCTCTAAGCATGATGATAACAACCACAGTAAGGCAAAAGTGCTGTGCAAAAACTTCCTGCATCTATCATCTCTTCCGACCAGGAATGTGGAGTAAAGATGATTTGTGAGGGGACTGTAGTAAAATGCAGTACATTCTCTGACAGACAAATCAACTTAATCTTGCTTAAATCTTGTTCCTTGAGAATAAAGAGGGGTACAGGTATGGTACCAAGACCTAATTTTCATATCTTCCGTAGCACTGAAACCATCCTCTGATATGTGGTCAGGAATATTCTTCTGCAGGTTTTCATACAACAACAGGATACAAAAAGAAATAAAAGTGAGATTTTCCTTAACAGCTGCTGAGAGCTAAAGGGTTTTTTTTAACTAGAGAAGTCATTTCATTCTGTAGAAGTAGTATGAAATACTGTGATCATTATTTTCTTGGTACTCAACTTTATTGTTGAAAAACTATGTAAATTAAAGTCTTGGTAGAGTTTCAAAGATGGACTTAACCCTAAATTTTGTTTTCGTCTTTTCAGAGGTTAAAGATGCTGTGAAGATTCCTGTGCTGATTGGGTCTGGAGTGACTCTGGAGAATGTGAGGAATTACTTGGATGCAAATGCTCTAATAATTGGTTCTTATTTCAAGAAAGAAGGTTATTGGGCAAATGCTGTTGATCCTGACCGAGTAAAGAAATTTATGGAACACATAAGTAAACTGAGAGAATGAGTTTGTCAGTAAACAGTATTTTTTGTGTGTGTGTGTATAAATGTATTATGATAAATCTTACAGAATTAAAGCACAAATGTGTGGTTTAGGGGCTAATAACATGAAATGAAAACACTCATCATCTCCATAACTAGCTGGGAAACATGGTGGCGCTTACGATAAACTGGTGCTCTGATATTTGCTTCTAGGCAGCGCATTTCTATGGCACTCAAAGCCAGCGTCAATGCAAAACCACCTCTCCGAAGACTTGTGTAATGTATTCTCTCTTATAAGTAAAATGCTATGGAGTTTAAGAATTTGTAGTAAATACTCATCACAGGTGAGCTGAGTTTTGTTTTGCCTGTGAGTACAATAGAATGCCCTTAGTTTACAGCTAAGAGTATTGTAAATTGGACAAGTTAATTAGTCTTTCAGTTTCCCCATCTGTAAAATGATGATAATAGTACCTGCATCACATGGGGGTTGTAAGACATAATAAATGAATGAATGTACAGCTCTTTCATCTCTTCAAATGAAGGGCTCCTTTAAAGTTCAAGATAATTTTTTTTTATTAGAATTGTGCATTTATTACAAAAAATGTAGTAATTGTATACCATACAAAAAAATTAGGATAATTGGGAAATTGATATACTTACAATACTTATTAGAGAGTACACGTAAATATTTAATTACATTTTAAGTAGAGTTGGAACTCAGTCAAAATATTCTCACAAAAAATGGAAATTTTAATAAAGTTTTATTGTTATTTTTCAGCAACCTCCTACAGCTTTGTACCTCTCCAGACTAGTATTAGTGATGCTAAAACCTGCCAGTTTCCCTCTAATAAAAAAAGTGTAATTATAATGGAAACCTTTCTACCAAAGCTGACAGGTAAACACAGATTTTCATTTTTCCTGTAAAATGTAGAGGGAAAATATTACAGTCTTACTGTGTGTGTTGTGAGAGGTTCCATTGAATTTGATCATTTAGCTATAAGGAAGTTTAAAAGAACCGAAGGAATAGGAGCCATCTTCAAACAGTCAGCTGAAAACTACAACTGATATACACTGATAAGGGTTGTTCTGTGATGATAATTATTTTTAAAGAAACTGATTACAGTTGCCAAAAGTCATGTTCATCACTGTGAGTGTGAAAATATAATGTGTTACCAGCACCTTTTTGAATTGGTTTCTACTCATTCCCATCCCAAAAACTCAGAAGTGACTGGAACTCAAATGGGTTTTCATCTGAATGAAAGGGGTGGTGAGAACTGCTTGAGTGATGTATGAAAGGTCTAAAGGGAGTAATGTCATACGTAGTAGTCTTTGTAAGACAAAACCCCTTACGAGTTGGTGTAACACTCATAACATGCAATGAATACTGTAGACAGCACTCCCACTGTGTCACACTTAGGAAAGGAAGAGGACATATTTTGGGCCTATATTGTTACATGTGCATGGTAAGCACAGAATTTAGGGAACAGAAGTAAAGGAAAGCTGGTTCTAAAGCCTGGAAATGTGACTGATGGCCAACTCTTTATCATTCTTTGTGCTGCAAGTATTTGTCTAGCAGCATTAAGCATCTGCTTGCCTGTTTCACACAGATGCTGTAAGTTGAATTTGACCTTTTGTTCAGAAGTGTTTGAATACTTAACGTAAAAATATTAAGTTATCAGAAAGGCTGTCTCTATTGGGAAGACTGTTCAATTTTTATACAGCTCAAGTTGTTAAAGTACTTTGGAGCATGAACAACTTCAGAGCAGAACAAAGCAGGCAGTGCTAATGTGTAGAAACTCCAGAAGTAAATAACAGCTGTTCAAGAAGACTTCTATTAAATATGTATTAATTAATTTGAAGTGCATCACTTAAATATGTGAAGAGATTATCTTGTGTTAATTTACATTAAAACACACAGCACTTGTTAGCCTCATTACAGTATCCTAAGTATATCCTAAGCTATCACCTCATCCTACATTGAGCATTTTGTTGGGTGTTGATTGCTTTCAATTTGCCCTTTTAAAATGTCAGATAGTGGCCTCCCCTTTTTTGTTAGATCTCTCTTTCTCTCAGGTTTTGCTCTTGCATAGTTACTGTACTTGGTCTGTTCTGTGCTGAGCAGAAAAGGATTAAAAATAGCTTGTGAAAATACAACAGTAGTTGCCCACAGCTCGGTTCCCTAACATGCCTGTCCAAACCTCACGTGTGGTTCTTGCTGTGAACTTACGAACCAGCAGAGAAAATATAAGTGTCCATCTTCTATTTCTGTAGCAAAATGACACTTCATGAAGATTCAGTATCACCTTTAGCACAGATAAGATACCTAGTAAAATGAGGGTCTTGAGTGAAATTATAGATAAGTGAAGCTCACTGGTAGTAATTGACTTTGTGGTTCAAATCAATATATAAATCCTAATAAACCCTCATTCCATTCATAAAACTTAAGTATTTTCATCTGGACCCAATAAGACAAATGGTTTTTTACCTATTTCAGTGCTGAAAATATGTAAGCTTGTAAGATTTATTGCAATTTTCAGAGATTCATCTAGTCAGAGTTTGCTGTGCCAAGGAACTTAGAAGTTGAGTATAGGAACAGTACTGTCCATGGCTTTTTTTTTCTTGCACAATTGCAGTGCTTATCTGTGCAACCTAAATGATATTTTTCAGAAAGGGTGGAGAATTGGGCTGAGATATGTTATTGAGGGCTAAAATGCCATGGTGTATAGCAGAATTGACCCTCTACTCCACTCTACAGTCCGCACTATAGAAATACCATCAGAACTTAAAATCCTTTTGAGAAAGGCAGAGCTAGATTCCTGCTATAGGGGTGTCAGGGAAACCTACCCATTAGCTCCTTGCTTTTATAAGAACCAGAGCGTGTGCTGAGGCTTGCAAGAAATTATTCATGTTGATGCATTATCAAACTTTGCTCCATCATTTTCCCTACTCTTAACCATTGTCTGAATATTAGTGACAAGGATTATTTGATCTCTTGAACACTTGCTTTAGAAATGAAAAACCTATCTCCCTTAGGATGTCTTTAAAAGACCTGGGTTAGGACTAATAACTTCAGTCACATTGTTCTCATATGGTGACTGGTTAGGACTCTTCTGTTGAAAAGCCCGTGCTTGGTGAATACTAAGTTGAACATGTTGCATAGTTTCCTGACTGAATTAATATTCCTCACTTCATCTGTCAGAAAAACTTTGTCACACTTTCACTCAGGTCTAGACGGACCTATTTTAGACACTTTCTTTGGATTATTCTTCATCTGACAAAGTTGCTAGTTGCCCATGCACTATCTTGGACTGATGTCTTTGGGGCACTGGAGTATTCCAGCCTTCACAGATGAGTCCCTTTCTCCCCTGTGCTTTGCTCACAGTGAGAGAACCATCACTCCCTCCTATCAGCCTCTGTAGGTCTGCAGCAAATAGAGGAAACAGAATCATTGAATCATTTAGGTTGGAAAGACCTTTAAGATCATTAAGTCCAACAGTTAACCGAGCACTGCCAAGTCCACCAATAAACTGTGTCCCCGAGTGCCACATCTACACATCTTTTAAATACCTCCAGGGATGACGACTCTCCACTTCCCTGGACAACCTATTCCAGTGCTTGACAGCCCTTTGGGTGAAGAAATTCTTCTTAATGTCCAGTCTAAACCTCTCCTGGCACAACTGAACTAAAAGTAATGGTTTCTGGTCAGATGTTGAGAGTAATAGATGCTTTGTCACCCCAGTCTTTAAATGCACAGATAACTTTAGGGAGAAAGAAAAAAGACTTTCTGCAATGCGAATGGGCAGACCTTTCACATGAGGCATAAGCTGCACTTCATAACATAGTGTGTTTCTTTGCTTACAGTTTGAAGCTTTAGAAGTAGTAAAGGTAAGGAGAGCCTAAGATGCTCCATATTAACCACTTAAGGGTAGGAAAAGATGTGTGAGGGTAATTAACTTGATTAAAAATCTGTTTGTCCTATTAATACGTAGGTGTATTTCAAGATGTCAAAATGGTATTTTATTGATTTGGGGTGAAGCTACTACACTCTATGTTTAAGTTCCCTCTTCCCTGCTACTATCAAATTTTCCTTGTTTCACAAAGTAAATTGTCAGACAGCAGAAGTTAGTGTTTCATAATTTCTTTAGCTAAAGGACATCACTCTCCTTGAAATGAATGGGACAGAGATGCCATTTGTTTATGTGGATCACTGGGTTACTGGATGTCTTGTATATCAAAATGCAACGTGTACTTCTGTCCTACTAGCTGTGCAAAGGAAGATGGAATATCCAGTGTAGAGGGTAGGAGCTGATGAATTAGTGGGTGTTAAGGAACTTTTTATACTTAGTGAACAACACTAAGTGTACAAGAAATTGTAAATATCTAAATTTGCCAAATCTGATACAAAATTAAGTGTTCAACATAGTAGTTAAACTCAGAAATGCTGGACTTCATGCTACAGTAAGTCTGCTAGCTGTGCCATGTCATACTGCCATCAGAATGAGGCCATGGAACAGAGGACATAGAAATCATGATTCGTGCAAATATAGGAGGAATCCCAAATTTGGCAGTAAGCAGGGATGAAAAGGAAGGCAGCACAGTAAGGGCAAGAAAAGATGCTCAAGTTTCTTGCAGTTCCTCCCTCATTGTTTATTCCAGCTTCCTGCTTTTTCACTTTGCCTCTCAAGCCTTTCTTGTGCATATACATAGATTATAGTATGCAGAAGACTAAGAATAAGCTGAAGGCAGATGACTTAATGAAGACATTCTTGTGGTAGAGAAAAGATTTTGTTGTCCACAGATGCGCAAAGAAAAATAGAAAAGCAGCTGCCCTTAGAAATGTAGTAAAAGTAGAGATGAGTGCCACGTCATGATGCTTTAGTCAAAATCTGATGTGTTGAAAGTCTTTGAAAGGATCTGTACTGTTGTACAGGGCTATAACCAAGAGAAGAAACAATAAGCTTCTGCTGGAAAAACACTGCAAGTCTCGTGTCTTAGATACTGTCCTGAATATTGTTGACTTTTTATTAACTTTCAGCTGGAGAATAAGAATAAAAGGAAATAGCTTTTCTGTTAGGGATGACAATATTAATAATCGGTTTCCTGTCAAAACGTTCTGTTTCCTTAAGACCAAGCTATAGAGGTACAGTTGTGTGCTGTCATCTTCCAGAGGAAGGTTCTGAAGGGCAAAGGTTGTAATCTCATTAGTTTCCATTTCTCCTCTGTAGGTAGGTAGTTTGTCTATACTGAAAGCTTTTGTGGGCAGAGACAGCATAAAGGTGATGGAAAAATTGATATGGCAAGTGGGTGGGCAGGTAAGGTGAAATGGAGCTGACATACAGCAAATGAGTGTAGGCTTCCTTGGTCACCTGGCCTGGGGAATTAAGAAACTAGGGATGTAGTTGGTTAGTAAGGAGTTATTAAATGTACAAAGTATCTGTATCAAAATGAGGTGGCAAGCACCGGAGTTTGGGTGAGCTGGGTGGCTTATTCTACTCCTTGCACTATCGCTTTGAAGTACCAACTGAAGTATTCACAAGAGCAAATGCAGCTGCTGGCATTTGGACTGTGGAAATGATAGTTTGTAATACTTTTCTAATTTGAGAGTTATAGAAGAATTATATGACTAATATTTCAATTGGGCAGTGAAAACCTTCAAGTTTCAGGAAAGAACTTTTTTTGTACACCACCCTGAGCAAAT